ACATCAAACATCATACTCAATGGAGAAAAATTGAGAGCTTTTTCTCTAAGATCAGGAATAAGGCAACAATGTCCATTCTTGCCACTTTTATTCTGCATAGTCCTGAAAGTCCTAGTTAGAGCAATTAGGCAAGAAAAAGAAATAAAAGTTATCCAAATTGAAAAGGAGTAAATTGAATTGTCCCTATTTGCAGATGCCATGACCCTAGAAATAGAAAACCCTAAATATTTCACCAAAAATATGTTAGAACTAACAAATGAATTTAATAAATTTGTGGGATACAAAATCAACACTCAAAAATCAATATTTCTATTCACTAATAACTACCTATCAAAAAAATCCAAAAACCAATCTCATTCACAGTAGCATAATAATACTTAGCAATAAATTTAATGAAAGAGCTGAAAGGTCTGCAAACCGAAAACTATAAAACAGTGACTAAATATTTTGTAGAAGACAAAATCAATGGAAGATATCCTGTGTTCATGGATTGGAAAATTTAATATTGTTAAAATATTTATGTCATCCAAAGTAGTCTGCAGATTCAATGCCATCCCTATCAAAATTCCAATGGCCCTTACCACAGAAATAGAAAAGACAATTCTCAGATTCATATGAAACCCCAAAATACCTCCAAATAGCCAAATAAATCTTGAGCACATAAGAACAAAACTCCAGGCATCACACAACTTGATACCAAAATCTACTACAAAGTAACAGTAGTCAAAGCAATGCAGTACTGGTACAAAAGCAGACATACAGAATAACAGAAGAGAACAGAAAGCCCAGAGATAAAATCATGCATTTAAGGTCAAATATATTCAGCAAAGGTGCCCAAAAGACACAGCGAGGAAGACAGTTTCCTTAATAAATGCTATTGGGAAATTTGAAGATCCACATGCAAAAGAATGAAGTTGGACCCTTATCTCACTCAATAGGAAAAAAATGAACTCAAAGTGGATTAGAGACTTAAACTTAAGGCCTGAAACTGCAAAATTCCTAGAGGAAAATACAGGGTAAGAGCTTCTTTACATTGGTCTGGCAAAGGTTTTTTTCAAATAATCCACAAAGCACATGCAACAAAAGCAAAAATAGACAAATAAAATTGCATGAAACTAAAAAGTTTCAGCAGAGTAAAATAAACAATAGAGTGAGGAGACAGCCTATGGATTGGGAGAATATATCTGCAAACCATTTATCTCATAAGGGATTAATATCCAAAATATATAAACAATTACAACAACAGAATAGTAAGAAAACAAATAATCTGATTTAAAAATGGCAAAAGACCTGAACAGACATTTTTTGAAACAAGACATATGAATGGTTGAACATGCAAAAGATGTTCAAAACCCCCAACGCTGACACCGCCACCGGCGCGAACGTGCAGACATTGGCAACCCCACGCCCTGGTGCCACCCCACTGCTGCTACAAATGCGCACAAGGATGTTGGCAGCCTCATCCACCCTGTGCTGCCAATGCTGCCTTTGGGAGCACAAGCACCACGGAGGCCAACAGCGCCATGCTCACCAGTGCCCCACTCTCGCCATCACTGTTGCAAGCATGAGTGTGAGCACCAACACTGGAACCCCCCAATCCCAGCCCTCACCGCCAGCACCCCGCCCTTGCCACACCACCACTGTAACTTGTGCAAGTTCAGCAGGTATGCGGCAGCCTTGCTTCTGACAGTACCCCAATCAGCTGAGGCGTGTGCACCTCGCTGTACCGCTGTGGCTGCTGGCACAGGCAAGCAAGCATGGATCCTGCTGCCGCTGCCCCAGTGAAGTGCTTTGGCCCACGCCACTCCTTGGAGTGTTCTGGCCAGTGAATTGGGACCACTTCAGCCCCTCCAGTGCAGCAGATTCCTAACTTCCAGGGGCCAGAGAACAAAGCTATGGGCCCAGGACCAGCTCCTCAGAGATAGAGCATGCAGCCCAAGAGTGCTGAGCTGCGACGTAGCCCCCTAAAGTCTTCCAGAAACAAAGCAGTCAACTGAACCCACTTTATACCACAATCAAATCCCCAAGGGCATAAAAAAAGATACAAGCAAAAAACAAACAAACAAACAAAAAACACAAAAAACCAACCCATCCAAAGGACAGCAATTTCAAATATTGAAGGAACACAAGCCCACACAGATGAGAAAGAACCAGTGCAAGAACTCTGGCAACTCAACAAGCCAGAGTATCTTCTTACCTCCGAACAACCACACTAGTTCCCCAGCAGTGATGGTTCATACCCAGGCTGAAATGGCTGAAATGACAGAAATAGAAATCAGAATATGGATAGGAACAAAGATGATCAAAATTTAGGAGAAAGTAAAAACCCAATCCAAGGACTCTAAGGAATACAATAAAACAATACAAGGATGAAAGATGAAGTGGCCATTTTAAGAAATAATCAAACTGATCTTATAGTGCTGAAAAACTCACGTCAAGAATTCTATAACACACACTTCAAGAATTCTATAATACAACTGCAAGGATTAACAGCAGAATCAAGCAAGCTGAGGAAAGAAGCTCACCTCAAAGACCAGTTCTCTGAAATAACTGAGTCAGACAAAATAAAGAAGAAACAACAAAGAAGAATGAACCAAACCTGAGAAATATGGAATTATGTAATGAAATAAAATCTATGACTTACTGCTGTCACTGAAACAGGGAGAGAAAGCAAGAAACTTGGAAAATATATTTCAGGATATCATCCATGAAAATTTCCCAAACCTCACTAGAGACACCAACATCAAATTCAGGAAAAGCAAAGAACCCCTATGAGATACTATACAAGATAACCATCCTCAAGACACATATTCGTCAGATTTCTCAAGGTCAAAATGAAAGAAAAAATGTTAAAGGCAGCTAGAGAGAAGGAACAGATCACCCACAAAGAGAACCCCATCAGGCTAACAGTAGATCTCTCCGTGGAAACCCTACAAGCCAGAAGAGATTGGGGGCCTATATTCAGCATTGGTAAAGAAAAGAAATTCCAACCATCAATTTCATATTCAGCCTAAGTTTCATAAGCAAAGGAGAAATAAGATCCTTTTGAGACAAGCAAATGCTAAGGGAATTCATTGCCACCAGACCTGCCTCACAAGAGGTCATGAAGGGAGTGCTAAATATGGAAAGGAAAGACCATCACAAAAACACACTTAGGTAAAAGAGCCTTGACACTATAAAGCAACTCTACAATCAAGTCTACATAACAACCAGCCAATGACATGATGATAGGATCACGTTCGCATATATCACTATTAACCTTGAATATAAATAAGCTAAATACCCCAATTAAAAGGCACAGGGTGGCAAGTTGGATGAAGAAACAGGACTCAGCTGTATGCTATACTCAAGAAATCCATCTCACATGCAATGATACTTACAGGCTTAAAGTAAAGAGATGGAGAAAAAGCTAAGCAAATGGAAAACAGAAAAAAAGAAGGGTTGCTCTTCTAATTTCACACAAAACAGATTTTAAACCAACAAAGATCAAAAAAGACAAAGAAGGGCATTATATAATGGCAAAGGGTTCAATTCAACATGAAGACCTAACTATCCTAAATATGTATGCACCCAACACAGGAACACCCAGATTCATAAAGCAAATTCTTGGAGACCACAAAGAGGCTTAAATAACCACACAATAATAGTTGGAGACTTCAACACCTCACTAACAGTATTAGACAAATCATGGAGGCAAAATATTAACAAAGATATTCAGGACCTGAACTCGACATTGACCATATGAATCTAAATGACACCCACAGAACTCTCTACTCAAAAACAGAACACACATTCTTCTTATCTGTGCATAGCACATACTCTAAAATTGACCACACAACCAGCCATAAAACAGTCTTTAACATATTATAAAAAAACCCCCACAAAATCATACCAACCACACTTTTGGACCATAGTGCAATAAAAATAGATATCAATATGAAGAAGATTGCTCAAAACCTTACAATTAAATGAAAATTAAATAATCTGCTCCTGAACGACTTCGTGTAAACAATGAAATTAAGGCAGTAATAAAAATCAGAAAAAGATACATAAAAAAAGAAAGAAGACAACAGACCAATATCCCTGATGAATACTGATGCAAGAATTCTCAACAAAATACTAGCAAACTGAATTCAACAATACATTACAAAGATAATTTTATCATGTCCAAGTAGGATTTCTCCCAGGGATGCAAGGATGGTTTAAGATACAGAAACCAATCAATGTGGTACATCATATCAACATAATGAAGGACAAAAACTATATAATCATTTCAATTGATGCTGAAAAAACATTTGATAAAATTCAACATCCATTCATGATAAAAACCCTACAAAATGAGTATAGAAGGAACGTACCTCAACATAATAAAAGCTGTACGTGACAGACCCATAGCAGGCATGCTATTCACAATACCCAAGATTCTAAAGTAACCTAACTACCCATCAATGAATGAATGGATAAACAAAATATGATACTTATGCACAATGGAGTACTTTTCAGCCATGAAAAAGAATTAGATTATCAGTGAAATAGAAAATAGTCAGCATTAGAGAAAATTCATAAAGACAAAATCTGGACCTTCGAAATGACCAACAAAAAGAATGCAATTTAGTGGAGGTAATTCTATCTCAATATAGGTTAAGAAAATACAATCTCGTCAGCACCCATCAACTCGTCATTTACATCAGGTATAACTCCCAATGCAATCCCTCCCCCCTCCCCCCTCCCCATGATAGGCCCCAGTGTGTGTATGCACATGTACCCTAGAACTTAAAGTATAATAATAATAAATTAATTAAAAAAAAAAAAAGAAAATACAATCTTGTAGACACAGATTTTTCTTTCATCAAATAACTTCCAAGCTTCCTGAGTAGCTGGGACCACAGAAGCATGCCACCAGGCTGGCTAAGGTAACAGTATATAGATACATACCTCTCAGACCTAATTTTCAATTCTCTTAGAGTTGTTTTTAAATTATTCCACACTTGAGTACTTACTTTCCTGTATCGCTTGTAGATACCAAAGTAAATGTATTGATTGAGGAATGTTCTTAGTCTCCATGAAGTAGTCTCCCAAAAGAAAATCAACACAAGGAAAATAAAGCCTGCAGTACTCATGTCAATCAAATACTTTCCAATCATAGGCTCTTTCAAAGAATAAATATTCTTCTCAGTATCTGAAATTGGCAAAAAAGAAAATGCAAGACAGCTCATCTTAGTGCACAACATTGATACTATGAATGAACAAGAACTCGGAAAACAACAAAGAAAAAATATAGTATAAAATCAAATATTAGACTAAATTGAGACAAGGTATTTAGTGTGAGAAGTACTTATCCTGCTACAAAAATGCCATTTGAACAATAAATTTTGAAGATCACCTTCATTAACATAATGCATGGTAATTAAGTAAGCATATGTATATTAATATATTTATTTATATGTCTAATAATCATTGCTTACTATGAACAATATATCCCAAATCCTTTCAGAAATGTGAAATCTCAAGTTGCTAATTAGAAGAAAGCTTTAAAGTACAAATACTCTTGGAAAAGAAGACACACTCGCTTTTAAACAATGTAAAACTGACCATTAGCTGACACTTGTAAAACTTTCTTGGAAAGTTCATGAATAAAAGGCACAGAATTCATGTTATAAGAAAATGATAGCCTGGCACAGTGGCTCACGCCTGTAATACCAACAATTTGGGAGGCCGAGGCATGCGGATCACCTGAGGTCAGGGCTTTGAGACCAGCCTGGACAACATGGTGAAACCTCGTCCCTACTAAAAATACAAAAATTAGCCAGGTGTGGTGGCTGGCACCTGTAATCCTAGCTACTTGGGAGGCTGAGGCAGGAGAATCACTTGAACCCGGGAGGCAGAGGTTGCAGTGAGCTGAGATAGGGCCATTGCACTCCAGACTGGATGACAGAGCAAGACTCCATCTCAAAAAAAAAAAAAAAAAAAAAAAAAAAAATCCTGTTATAAGAAAATTATAAACTCTCCTCTCCTTGTTTTAAAAAAGGATATTTTAGAATAGTTTTAGATTTACAGAAAAATTGTAAAGAGAGTAGAGAGCTCCATATATCTGGTACCCAGTATCTCTAATAACATATACTAGTAAGATACATGTTACAATTAATGAACATTAATACATTACTATAACTAATGTACCTAATTTATTCAGATTTCCTAGTTTTTAAAATATAATGTCCTTTTTCTGTTCCATGCTCCAATCCAGATACCACATTACATTTAATAGCCATGTCTTTTAGGTTCCTCTTGGCTGTGATAGTTTCTTGGATTTTTCTTATTTTTAATGGCATTGACATTTTTGAGGAGTACTGGGGGTCAGGTATTTTGTAGAATACGATCTGGGAGACCCTCAATTGGGATCTATATGAGGTTTTTTTCATGATTAGAATGAGGTTATGGGTTTTTGGAAGGAATACCGCAAAGGTAAAATTCAATCTTTATCATATTTAAAAGGAGAGCTCCATACACTCAAAGCGAATTATTTACTGCTGACGTTGCTCTTGGTCACTTGATTGAGGTGGTGTTTTTCAGTTTTCTCTGCTATAAAGTTTTTCCTTTCTTCTCCCTTTATATACTATAAATTATATATTTGAATTCGAATAGATATATTTGAACATCATTTAAATAGATGTCAAACTAAATATCAGAATTACTTTAATAAATCAAAATAGACTTACAGATATTATTTGTTATATTTTGGGTTATAATCCAGTACTACCTTATTTTGTTGCTCAAACTGTTCTAGTTTTGGCCACTGAACTCTCCCTTTTTCGGAATCACATTTTATAAGTCTTTGTCATTGATGTATAGAAATGCAATTGAATTTTATGTTTGTATTTATTCTGAGTTCAGCAACCACATTAATTATTATAGAATCTAATAGTTCATTAGGGGATTATTTCAGATTTCTGGGTAGACCATTATATCTACTATTATTTCATCTTTTACATTTCTCATACTTTAGAATTATGTTTTAAAAATACTTGACTCATATCAAAGACTATATGGTATAATATTTATGCATATATATATATATATATATTTTTTTTTTTTTGAGACCGAGTCTCACTCTATCACCCAGGCTGGAGTGCAGTAGCACGATCTTGGCTCACTGCAACCTCTGCCTTCCAGGTTCAAGCAATTCTCCTGTCTCAGCCTCTTGAATAGCTGGGTGCATGCCACCACACCCGGCTAATTTTTGTATTTTTAGTAGAGACAGAGTTTCACCACATTGGCCAGGGTGGTCTCGAACACCTGACCTAAAGTAATCTGCCCACCTCGGCCTCCTAAAGTGCTAGGATTACAGGCATGAGCCACGGCACCTGGCCTTATTTATAAATTTTAAGAATAATATCATAATGGCATCTATAAGCCAAGCCTCTAAATGAAAAGTTTACAAATATTGTAAACAGAATACTTATGTGATCCTTCACTTTTCTATTCTCCACAGGTAACTGCTATGATGAATTGTGTTCTGATTTCCTGTGTTAATTACATACAAGTTGATCTTTACATGTATGCACTACCAATATTTTAATTTCTAAATTTGAGCTTTATAAAAACAGTATCGTACTCTCATATAGTTGTCTGAAGCCCATTTTCTCCTTATTTCTAAAATTCTCAAACATAAAGTGAAATCGAAATAATAGTAATAAAATAAACACTGTTCCCTCTGCATAGTATCAACATTGCTAACATTTTGACACATTTTCTGCCCCCACCATAGGTGTATTCGTAAGTATGATGCCTTTGTGTTTTTTAAAGGTTATTTTGTCATGTGCACTGTTTTTATTCCTTTTTGTCCTCCTTTCATACTTTGTATAAATGTATCCTACCTCTTTCTGGTGTGAATTGTGAATTCTCATGGACCATCAAAAACAGTAATTCTATGAAATGGTGATAATGGTTTGAGAAGATGACACGGTTGCTTGGTTTATGACAGCTATTTCTGTTGGTAGAGTGAAATATAGTTTCTTTACATGTAAATGTCTTTTTACTGGCGAGGGTGTGATGGGGTGGTGGTGGTAGTGTGGATACAGTTTTCTGATTTCCTGATAGCCTTTTGGTTCTTCGGGACCCTTAACTTATGCTGTATGTTTCCTTCTTTCTACATCTCAAGTCTCCAAGGGACAATTCTATCTTCCAAATTGTCCTGACTTTTCCCAGAAATTTTGTCTTCCCAAGAATGACAATCTTTCAAAAGTAATGAGACATCAAATCACAGATGTTAGAAGCTTAGAGCATCTAAGTAGAAAAAATGCCAATCCCTCCAAGCACACTAAGATACATTCTAGTCACAAAAAGAATGCAGAGTGACAATAAACAATCTAAGGGCTCATCTTGTGATGTTAGAGAATTAATCCCCCAAATTTAGAATGTAGAAGAAGAAAATAATGTAGAAAATAAATTTTTAAAAATGCAATAAAAAATCAAGAAAATTGAAAACTTATTTTTTGAAGACTAACAAGTTGATAAACTTCTTTTAAGACTGTTTAAAAAAACACAAGTGGCAAAAATTAGACAGAAATGAAAATGGAGACATCATTATTAATCCTACAGATGTTAAAAAGACCATAAGGTATTGTGAATAAATGTATTCCAATAAACTGGAAAATTTAGATGGAGTGAAATGGTCCTGTAAAACTCAACTAACAACTCCTCACCCAGATTATTAATAAGATACCCAAATAATTCTCACTTAGAAATGTGAACAATTAAAAACCTCCCCAAAGGACAATCTCCATGCATAATTAACTTCACATATGAATTACACCCTATTTAAGAGGAAATAACACCAAACATTTAAGAAGATACGTTGGTAGATACACAAAATATTTGAGCAAATAAAAAATAGGAAGCACTTCTTACTTTATTTTTTATTTTATAAAGTTTATTTATTTATTTTTTTGAGATGGAGTCTCACTCTGTTGCCCAGGCTGGAGTGCAGTGGGATGATCTCGGCTCACTGCAACCTCCGCCTTCCACATTCAAGCGATAGTTGTGCCTCAGCTTCCCAAGTAGCTGGGATTACAGGCGTGCAACACGACGCCCAGCTAATTTTTGTATTTTTAGTAGAGACAGGATTTCACCATGTTGGCCAGGCTGGACTCAAACTCCTGACCTCAGGTGATCCACCTGCCTTGGTTTCCCAAAGTGCTGGAATTACAGGCATGAGCCACCATGCCCATCCTGTTTAATTTTTATACCAAAGGTTGGTAAGTATTTCACTAAAAATTCCCAATAATTTTAGGTTAATCTTTTTAATAGACATAGACACAAGAATCCTTAATTAATATTAGTGAACTTAATCCACAATATATAACATTTAATATATCACAATAATGCTTGCTTTACCTAATTTATTACTTGATTTGTTATCATGTACCATTGCAAATTCAGCTTGTATAATTCACCATGTAGTTCAATGGAATAAATATGTCATTCAAGAGAACAAAGAAGAAAAGTTCAACAGAAGCAGTAAAAAACACCTGTTAAGATTGAACATGTATTCATAATTAAATAAACTAAACACAGAATAGAAAGAAACTTCTCGATTCTGATAAAAGGTTTCTATAGAAAACATCATTCTTGATAGTAAAATATTATAATGTTATCTTTTAAATTGAAACGAAACTGAAGGTCTATGATGACCAATTTGATTAAATTTGAACTACGTGTCTTTGACAAAGCAGGGGGTCAAGAACAAAAAATAAGTGTACATGGATTGGAAAATAAATACGTTATTAGCAGCTGCTTTGAATACATCCATTAAAATAAAAAATATACACCTAAATTATTAAAATAATTTTACAAGTTCAATAATATACAGAAAATGAACTTTTTCAACTGTATTTCTCTATATCAGCAACAAACAAAAATGACAGTCAAAAAGTCATATCATTTATAATAGCATCAAAAGATACATAGGAATAAAATGAGCAACATAGTTGCAACACTTTTAAACTAATAACCACTAAACAGTATTAAATAAAAACGGTGAAGACAGAACAAATCCTTCCTTATGGGAATGCATTATGCAGTGGAAGAAAAAAACTTTGAATCCCAGTCTGGACCATAAGAGCTGTACGACACACAGTCATTTTCCTCAAATGAGTATAAAAACAGGTAACTTGAGATTGTTGTGAAGACTTAACAATAACGCGGGTAAAGTTAGTACATGGTTGATTATTAGTACTTCTTATTGTATATCTGAAGACCACTTTAAACTTACCCTGGATTTGCTTTTGAGGCTTTATTATATTTATTTGTTTTGGTTTGGTTTTTTGAGATGGAGTCTGGCTGTTGCCCAGGATGGAGTGCAGTGGCACGATCTTGGCTCACTGCAACCTCTGCCTCCTGGGTTCAAGAGATTCTCCTGCCTCAGCCTCCTGAGTAGCTGAGATTACAGGTGTGCACCATCATGCCCGGCTAATATTTGTATTTTTAGTAGAGACGGGGTTTCTCTATGTTGGCCAGGCTGCTCTCGAACTCCTGACCTCAGGTGATCCGCCCACCTTGACCTCCCAAAGTGCTGGGATTACAGGCGTGAACCACCGCACCCAGACTGAGGCTTTATTATATTTAAGGAGGTTTTTTCCAGCGTTGTAAAAGGACTTATGTACCAAACATGTGTCCTGACGCTCTCCGATGAAGGAAGGGCAGATTCCCCACATGTTTTACAGCATGAACCTGAAGCTAATTTGCTAGACTTAGGGACCCTGAGGTACTTACTTGCTTTGCTACAATTTAGGTGGACAGGATGCTTCTTTAAGGTGGTGCACAATATCTTCACGTCGTAGATAGTTGTATACTGACTAACGCACTTTGCAAGGTTGTAATTGGGAAAGAGCAGCAATGAATTACGTACGACGGTTCTGGTGGTGTTTGAGATGTTGGTTAGCTTTTCTGAAAAGATAAGATTAGGTTATATTACAGGAAATCAACTATCCCCAGGACAACAAATCCTCCAGTGATGATCAAATCAAGCTCAGAAAATTGAAAACCAGACGATTATCTTTGAAGAACATTCCAGTGGCTGTCTGGAGTGGCCACTGCCATCAGTGACAAAGTTTGTGCTGACGATTATAGAATTCTGAAGTATTTTTGGTGAAGTGGGTATCCATATAAGTCTTCCTGGCACTTGATAGGGTCAGGAAGTCACTAGTGGCTATTTTTCAACACTTCTAACATGAATTGATTAAGGGAGTAAAGTACAGCCAGGAGATAGAGGCTAGAATTCAACAGTAGAGAATGGATAGGGCAAATTCTGAAACATTTGAGCATTCAAGAAAATTTCAAAGAAACAAGCTGATAAGTTAATTAATGTCTTTCCAAAGAACGAAGTGCATATAAGTAATTAGAGACTAAGTTCCTGGGGATATGAACATGTTTAATTTAGGAATTTCCAGTGTAGAATTTTGATAATGCATTCATACATTTGGGAAGAGGACAAAAGACAGGTCTAAACAAAAAGTTCTCATAAAACACTTTGTGCAGGGAGAGATGGCCAAGACGTGAACCCTCAAACGCTAAAATTATGGCAAGTCGATCTTAACTTGATATGAGTCCTAAGTAGATCTTAACTTGATATAGAGAAAAATAATTGACACAGAATGAATAATTCTGGATATTGGCTTTTTGTACAGATGCAAAAAATATCAAGGGCTAACCCTATAGACTAGCACTGTCCAATAGAACTTTACATCATTATGGAAATACCCTATAAATCCTCTCTAAAGAATTCTAGGGAGGACCATATTTAATACGTGCTTCTTTGGCTTGCCTCGGCACATCTGTTCTTATACTTCGGTAACACTTCCTCAGATTTTATAGCATTTTTGACTAATGGTAGTTTATTTTCAGTCTATACACACTTTAATAACTTTCCTATATTACAGAATGGAATTAAGACTGATGTATAATGTTTAACAGAAGTGGCAATAGCTGTCATCCTCATCTAGTTCCCCATTTTTAAAGGAAATGCTTTTGAAGAGCCAGTACTGCATACTATATTTGCTATAGGTCTCTGTACATGCATATGTCCATTATAAAGCTCAGCAACTTTTCTTCCTCTTAATCCTGGTTTACTAAATTTTTTTTTTTACTATGTAGCAACGATCTATTTGTATTTATTAAGATTTTTATGTTTCCTCATTAATCCCTTAAAATGGGAATTTTGTTGATAGATATTTTAATATAAAAGTAAACTTCCTAGATTCAATTTGCTAATATTTTGTTCAGAATTTTTTGAATCTATATTCATGGATGAGAATAGTTTGTGATGATTTTGCCAGGTTATGGCATGGGGCTTTTGCTCATCTCATAGGAGGAGTTAAGAAGCAGCATCTTATGTTTTTATGTGCTAACTGGAAGGATATATAGAACTCAGTAGTAAAGCCATCTAGGCCTTGTGCTTTCTTTGTAGAAATAATTGTAACTATTAATTTAATTACTTGAATACTTAAGTACAAATTAAATTTTCTAATTCTTCTAAATCATATTTAGTGAAGTGTATTTTTTAGAAATGTAACAATTTGTTTAAATTTTTCACATTTGTTGGCCTAAAGTTGTCATATCTTCTTAGATTTCAATGTTATAACAGCTATACAAATATACATACAAATATATATTTATATAACAGCTATATAAATATATATATTTAAGTAATTCTTCCTGTCTCAGCCTCCCGAGTAGCTGGGATTACAGGCACCCGCCACCACGCCTGGCTAATTTTGTATTGTTTTGCCAAGTTGGCCAGGCTGGTCTTGAACTCTTGACATCAGGTGATCTACCCGCCTCGGCCTCCCAAATTGCTGGGATTATAGGCGTGAGCGACCACGCCCGGCCCCATTTTCTGTTTGGTTAAATTTTACTTTTATTTGTTCATTCTTTACACTTTCTTTGAATTTGTTAGGCTCTTATTTTTCTAACTATTTAAATTAGATAGTATGTTAGTTAAGTTTCAGGCTTTTTAATATTAGCAGTTAAAGGTATAAAATTTCCTCCAATAACTCATTTGCTTCAGAGTATTTAAATTTCTCTTCAGTTCTAAATATTTTCTAATTTCTGTTATGATTCTCTCTTTGGCCCATTAACTATTAAAATGTGTTTTAAAATTCTCGATTTTGTGTTCTGTTTCTAGTTATCATTTTGTTACTCATTTTTAATTTAATTGCCTAATGGTCAGTAAATACATCATTACATATTAATTTTCATGATGTATCATCTGGGTCAGTTTCTGAGACTTATGTGTTTGAAAACATGATTTGGGAATCTATATTCTGTGTATGTCCATTAACGCAAGTTTGTTAACTGTACTGTTCAATATATAACATTCATTGATTTTCCCCACTGCTTTATCCATCAGTTACAAGAGAGGTATGTTCAAATCTCCTTCTGTAATGTTGTGTGTCTGCCTATTATTCCAACTGGTTATTTTGACTATATATATGTCTACATTATATTGGTATATAAGTGAAAATTTGGAATTCTTATAACTTCATGCTGAATTGAATCTGCTATCATGTTGTAAACCTCTTTGTCTCTAGTAATTTTTAATGTTAAAAATATTTTTTCTCTTAATAGATTTTATTTTTAAAAATGCAATAAAAAATCAACAAAGTTGAAAGCTTATTTTTTGAAAAGACTAACAAGATTGATAAACCTCTTGTAAGATTGGTTAAAAAAAATACACGTGGCAAAAATTAGATATGAAAATGGTTATTTTCAGTCACTACTGTTTTATTTTTGTATTTTTCCTGTTATATCCTTTGCCATTCTTGCACTTTCTGTGTCTTTATTTTTTTAACTATGCCTCCTGTAAAATGCATGAAGCTAGAATTTGGGGTCAGGGAGAATCCAGAATGCAATCTTGTTTATTTAATGAGCATATTTTGTTGCTATTTAATTTTGCTAATGATATATTTGGGTTAATTACTATCATCATATTGCTTTGCCATGTATTCTTTTCTATTTCAATTTTTCTCCCTTCGCCCATCTTTTGGATGTGACTTAGTTTTCTTTTCTTCTGTATTGCTAGTATTTATGTGTTTCAGAAGTTATACTTTAAAAATATTCTTTCAGTGGTTACACAGGATATTTTAACCTGCCTATTTATCTCCGGTTGCCTCAAAGATCTCTTCAGCCTTGGTGTTCTGAAATTTCACAATGATGTGTCTAGGTGAGAATTTAAAACAATTCAGTGAGCTTCTGAAACTGAAGATTTGTCTTTGAATAATTCTGGAAATTCTCAGCCAAACATGAACCCCTTGTCTTCTATTATTTCTTTCTGAACTCTTTTTGCCTGTACATTGGAATGTCTGTCTTCCATGACTTTTAACATGCTTTCATATTTTCCATTTTTAAAATCTTATGGGATACATTAAGTATATTTCTTTTGTTATCAGTTGTTGCAATTATTTCTGAAGAATTTTTAACAATTTTAGCTTTTATTTTAGATACAGGGGGTACCTGTATAGGTCTATTACCTGGGAATATTGTGTGATGCTGAGGTTTAGGGTATGGATCTCGTCACCCAGGCAGTGAGCACAGTACAGCATAGGCAGTTTTTCAACCCATGCCCCCTTCACTCCCTCCCCACTCTGGTAGTCTACAGTATCGATTTTCTCATGTTTATGTCCATTTATGCTCAATGTTGAGCTCCCACTTATAAATGAGAACATGTAGTATTTGATTTTCTCTTCCTGTGTTAATTTGCTTAGAGTTATGGCCTCCAACTGTATCCATGTTGCTGCAAAGGACATGATTTTATTCTTTTTTTTATGGCTGTGTAGTATTCCATGGTGTATATGTACATTTTCTTTATATCCGGTCTACCACTGATGGGCACCTAGTTGATTCCATGTCTTTGCTATTGTGAATAGTACTGCAACGAACATACGAGTGCATGTGTCTTTTTGGTAGAATCATTTCTTTTCCTTTGGGTATATACCTAGTAATGGACTTGCTGAATTGAATAGTAGTTCTATTTTAAGTTCTTTGATAAATCTCCACATTGCTTTCTGTAATGACTGCATTAATTTATATTCCCACTAACAGTATTCCCTTTTTTCTATGAAATCACTAGCTGCTGCTTTTTGATCATTTGATAATAGTCATTATGACTAGTTTGAGATGGTGTCACATTGTGGTCTTGATTTGCATTTCTCTGATGATTAGTGATGCTGAGTGTTTTTTAAAATATGTTTGTTAGCTGCTTCTAATGTCTTCTTTTGAAGAAGTTTCTGTTCATGTTCTTTGCCCTTTTTAAATGGGGCTATTATTATTATTTTCTTCTTAATTTGCTTAAGTTCCTTATAGATTCTGGATATTAGGCCTTTGTCAGATGCACAGTTTGTGAATATCTTCTCCCACTTTGTAGGTTGTCTGTTGATATTTTCTTTTACTGTGCATAAGCTCTTTAGTTTAATTAGATCCCACTTGTCAATTTTTGTTTTTGTTGCAATTGCTTTTGGGGACTTAACTGAAAATTCTTTGCCAAGGCCAATGTCAAGAAGAGATTTTCCTAGTTTGTCTTCTAGGATTTTCATAGTTTGAGGTCTTACATTTAAACCTTTGATCTATTTAATATTTGTACCTGGTGAAATGTAGGGGTCTAGTTTCAATTTTCTGCATATGGCTAGCTAGTTATCCCAGCATCATTTATTAAATAAGGAAGAGTTTCCCCATTGCTTGTTTTTGTTGGTCTTGCCAAAGATCAGATGATTTTAAGTGTGTGGCTTTATTTTTGTTATTCTGTTCCATTGGTCTATATGACTGTTTTTGTACCAATACCATGCTGTTTTGATTGCTATAGCTTTATAATAGAGTTTGAAGTCAGGTAGTGTGATGCCTCCCCATCTTTGTTCTTTTTGTTTAGGATTGCTTTGGCTAATCAGGCTATTTTT